CCTCCAGACAAGCTGAAGTTCACCAGTGTGACGGACTCTCTGGAACAGGTGCTGGCCAAAAACAATGCTCTCAACATGAACAAGGTGAGCTCCCAGCCACCCTCAACCTCCTAAGATTCCAGAAATGTTGTTAAGCTTTAGCAACTATGGATTCAAAATTATCCATGTAGGAACAGGATCACATTCAAATACATACTTAAAATCTTTTGAGTCAGAGATGGGAAACTTTCCGCCAGCAGCCATTTAGATATTTATTTGTAAAATAAATTGTAGACACAAAATGACAAATGATCAATATAGGTTAACAGGCTGCAGATAGCTCACAAGAGGAAACAAGCATGTATGCTTGTTTCCTCATGTACTAAATAATTCTGTGGGTTCTGTGGGTTTCACACAGCTTTTGGGCCAGGGTTTTCCCCATTTCTGGTAAATTGTCATTATGGAGTTTTAACCTTGATAACTAGCAATAAGACTTGAATCTCTAATGGAATACCTTCCATCCAAATATGATTTATTTTTTTCTAAGTAGATCAATAATAACCCTGCTTTAATATGATTTTTTTGTAGTCCTTGTCCCAATGATTTTTCAATCAAATCTTTTTTTATAGCGTTTATACACTGAAGCCTGGGAAAAAGACAAGACTCAAATTCACATAATGCCTGATACACCAGAGATCATGTTGGCAAGGCAGAACAAAATCAACTACAGTGAGGTAAGGACAAAAATTGTGCTGTTATACTGACTATGCTGGCATCATTGTTTTTTTTTTTATACTTGATTTTATGGAAACTCTTGGATCCAACTGCCATGGTAACTATGGCTCAAACACCTACTCAACTTTTCACTCATTGGGTTAAATATTGTATTTCATAGAATTCTGCAGGCAAACTCATCACATTATGTTTTCAGTTTACAGCTATTTCTACAGTTTTAGTGAAACTGAGTAGTACTTTGAACTTTTCAAGAACTAATGATCACTAGATAAAGGACTGTCTCATTGATACTAAAGCAGTCTTTTTATTTTCCTAAAATTCAAATTCAACTGAATATACTCTATTTTCATTTGCTAAATCTGGCAATCCTACCAATGAGGTATACCAATTCCCCACACAGGTGTTGAATAAAACTTAGATATAAAACAAAGAAGTAGAAATATAAGTCAAAATCTCCCCCTTTTTGTATACTAAAAGTAGATTAAGGAACATATTTTGTGAAAGCCAAGTGAGCCTGCTAAGTACACATAAAAGATAGGGTTTTCTGCCCAGGTATCAGCTACATGGGGACATTCAATCTGCTCCACACCCTCATAGAGGTGAGTGAGGCCCAGCTTACAAGGTATGAAGCTGGTTTCCAAAGGAAGATGAGGAGAGCTGAACGGCTCTGAGCATGTCCACTAACTCCATCCCCACCAGTCAGATAAGTCAGCAAGTCACTGTACCTCTTCAGGGCAGAGCGAATAAGAGAGACAAAGGTAAATAATCAAGCTTCTTTACATGAAAGTGCTCAAGGTGAGGAAGAAGTGTTTTCTATCAGAACACTGAAAAATAGTTATGTTTCAAGTAAAACTCAATTTTATAGATACAGGTTTTATAATCTTATGTAACTACAATTTAGAATATTAAAGTTGAGCTTATAGCCACATTAACTGTGTTTTAAATTATGCATTAGGTTTTTTAAAATATTATAAAAATGTTACTTAATTTTTATAACGTTTGAAGTAGTAAAAAAAATGAATGAGTATATATCTTAAGGCTAGAGGTTACACTCAAGCAATAGAGCCCCTGTCTAACAAATGCCTTCAAATCACAGTCCAATCCAAAAAAGTATGTATATTTTATACATGAATGCATAATATAAACATATTGTTCTGTCATTTCCTTTCCATTTATATGTATGAATTGATGCTTTGTCTATGAATCTATATTAGGGTGTATTGATGTATATTGATATATATTAATCTGCAAATTATATCTTTATCTGTAATAATGCATATGAAATAGATTAATATATCAATATAGATTAATATCCATTCTTATATCACATTTACTTCTAATGCTAGGGTTTTTTGGGGGGTATAATATAATGTAATTTATTTACTTTTCACTGTTTACAGAAACTTAGATTGTTTCCACTTCTTTTCCTTTATGAATTATGTTGTGAGTCACTGAGTGCCCTCCAAATTGTTGCTGTCCGATCTTTTCCTTTAACTCTTTGAATCTCTTTCTCTAGAGTCTGTATAAACTCGCCAATGAAGAGGCAAAGCAGAAAGGCTATGACTTGCGAGTTGATGCCATCCCAATTGTGGCAGCCAAGGCCTCAAGAGATATTGCCAGTGATGTGAGTATCTAGATATTTATATGGATTAACGGAGTAAGGAGAAAGCTTATCGCTAATCAAGAAGAATCCAGATGCCAGTTATAGCAACATTGACTTGTTTTTTCTAATCAATTTTTTTTCTTAAAAAAACACATATTTTAACTCAAAATAATCTAGCTCTCATTAGGGGAGGAAGTATCTTAACTGTGATATAAAATTGAATCCAAATCTATACTTTTTATATGTATAGTTTTGGAAAATTTACCTTCATATTTTGAGCATGGAGCCTTATGGAAATAAGGAACTATTAGAAGAGGCATAGCTTGGTTACACACATTGGTTCAACACCAGTAAAGACCTGCTTTAGCACAGGCTGGAAAAATTCACATTTTACCCAAAACATAATCTATATTTTTGCACACCTTTTCTTTGAAAAACTCATCTGATATCCTCCCTTTTCAGTTCTTTCAAAATAAAATACAAAGACAACCAAAAGAAAGAATGGTGAACTTGAGGTTTCTGCAGTCTCTGAAAGAAGCGGCCTCTTTGGTAGAGAATTTAGACCAATGTAAACATATATTAGGATGTGTGTGATAGTCTTGCCTAGAGAGAAAGTATCGAGTCAGCTCTTTTTATCCCACCAATAAAATGTTCTCCTGCTCAGGTATAGTTTTTTTTTTTTTCATTTAAGGAATTGTAGGCAAAACACAGCCTAATTTGATCTCCAACAGAGCAGGGCATGAGGATCAGAGACAAGGTCCAGTCAATTTCAAGGACTCTAATAACCCAGAGAAAGTTATCAGAGCCATATATGGGAGGGCGCATGGGAGGGCTAAGTAGCCAGGAAATGATATCTGCTGATTCAGGAAATAATGTTCCCAAAATCACATACATGAAAGATTTCTGGGTTGGTTACTTCACTAGCACAAGATGAGGAAAATACATCAAACCAATAATGATTCATTTTCTGAAAAGTGTTGCTGCCTTTATTTTCATTAACTTAGGTCTGCAAGCCCTAAGATTATATAATTCGACCTATCTTCCCATTAGATTATTGTTGTGAAGACTAATCAGAATTTAGGTTAAAGAGTTGAGATATTTAGATATTCCATTTCTCTTCAAGTTAACAATATTAAAACAATGAAGTTTTAAAGTAATTAAATTCTTTACTTTATTCATTTTTTTGTTTTTGAAACACCACTTTTCTTTCAGTACAAATATAAAGATGGTTACCGCAAGCAACTAGGCCACCACATTGGAGCTCGGGACATTAAAGATGACCCCAAGATGATGTGGTCCATGCATGTGGCCAAGATCCAGAGTGACAGGGAATACAAGAAGGACTTTGAGAAGTGGAAGACCAAGTACAGCAGCCCAGTGGACATGCTGGGGGTGGTGCTGGCTAAGAAGTGCCAGACTTTAGTCAGTGATGCGGATTATAGACACTACCTGCACCAGTGGACGTGCCTGCCGGACCAGAATGATGTCATCCATGCTCGACAGGCCTATGACCTCCAGAGCGATGTGAGTGCCTGAGATCCATGATAACCAGACTCATGGCAGTGATGCATAGCAATACATAGACATCTCAAGCTGGAGTCCTCAAAGGGTTGCCCTGTCTTATCTCTGTTCCTCATATTTTAATGCCCCTTATTTGATTTAAAAAAGATAGTTCAGAGCTGAACTCTGGTGGCTCACAGTGTAATTTTAGCTACTGAGACTAAGATTGGAGGATCATGGTTTGAAGCTGGCATAGGCAAGAAAGTCCCTGAGACTCCTATCTCTAATAAACTATGCAAAAAATTCCAGGAGTGGAGCCCTGGTTCAAGTGGTAAAGTGTTAGCCCTGAGCAAAAAGGCTCAGGGACAACGCTCAGGCCCTAGGACTGGCATACACCAAAAAAAGCAGTATCTTGAGATTAAGTCCAATTTTCCTTTTATTTTAAGGCATGGACAATAAAGTTTAAGTTTTTCTATCACTTGCATTTTTTAAATCACTTGATATAACAACTTCCGTAATACTTGCTTCTGTGCTCTATCTCTGCAGAACATTTACAAGTCCGATCTTCAGTGGATGAGGGGCATTGGCTGGGTCCCCATTGGGTCTCTGGATGTGGTCAAGTGCAAGAGAGCCACGGAGATCCTGAGTGATAACATCTACCGCCAGCCTCCAGACAAGCTGAAGTTCACCAGTGTGACGGACTCTCTGGAACAGGTGCTGGCCAAAAACAATGCTCTCAACATGAACAAGGTGAGCTCCCAACCTAGGGGAAAATAAAACAGGCCTTTATGTCATTTTGAATGATTATGATTAGGTTAGGTTTCTTATTTCATCTAATTAAATTGCTATTAAAAATAATGACTTGGTTGAGTTCTCTATTGCTTTATGTCAGAATTCCAAATACAAGCAGGAGAATTTCTGCTTTGGTATCTTTTGTATAATACCCACTATGAATAGGATAACTGCTTAGGGCTCAAATTGTTTGAAGTCTCTTAGCATTATACATCGTTTGATATCAAGCTTTATTTCCTATGGGAGCATAGAACAAATAAATATGATGAAAATCTAGAAATGGCATATCCAGCTATATTTTCAGTTAGTAACTAACAAGCCCAAACAAAATCACAGGAAGGATTTGTTACTGTAGCCAACATGGATACATGAGCATGCTTGGGAAATACCTTTAATTTAATACAGGTGTGGGAGACTTCATAATGCACATGTATTTGTTTTATGTTTACATGTTTTTCCTTAGTGTACATTTTCATTTAGTTACAGTAAACCATAAAATCAACAAGGTTGAAAAGAATGTCTATCTCACACAGCACAGGTAGCAGAGGCTGGCTGTCAGTGTTTCCAGGACCGCTTGCATGAAACACTCTGGTTTATAACAAAATTTTGTTTCTAGTTCATTAACCTTCTCATCTTTCACAGCGCTTATACACAGAAGCCTGGGACAAAGACAAGACCCAGATCCATATTATGCCAGACACACCGGAAATTATGTTGGCAAGACAGAACAAAATAAACTACAGTGAGGTAAGACCCTTTGGTTTCTTTGTTTCTTGTGGCCACTATCCATCTTTGCTAATGTAGGAATGTCAGTCAGGAATTTGAATCATTGTATAGACCAATTAGTTTAGTTTTGCTTGGGGGCTTTATTTTCTTTTTCTCTTTTTAAATAATCACCTTTAGTTGTACAAAGGAGTTGCCATTTAACAAAGCAGCTTATAGATACAATGCATCGGTATCACCCTTTTCCAGCTTAGTTTTATTTTGATGCTCATTATCTTACTTTGAATATAGATACCATTATATTAAAAAATAGGTAGAAAAAATAAAAATAGGTAGAAGCTGGGCACTGGTGGCTCAAGCCTATAATCCTAGCTACTCAGGAGGCTGAGATCCGAGGATCGAGGATCGTGGTCAAAGCCAGCCAAGGCAGGAAAAGTCTATCTCCAATAAACTATCTCCAATAAACCACTCAGAACCGGAAGTGGTGCTGTGGTTCAAGTGGTAGAGCCCTACCCTTGAGCTGAAAAGCTGGGGACAGCACCCAGGCCCAGAGTTCAAGCCCCATGACCAGTAAAAAAAACCAAAACAACAAAAAAAAAACAAAAAACAAAACAAAGAAAAGGTAGATAGCTGAGTACCAGTGGCTCACACCTGTAATCCTAGCTTCTTAGGAGGCTGAGATCTGAGGATCACAATACAAAACCAGGCTAGACAAGAAAGTCCACAAGACTGTTATATCCAATTGACCACCAAAAGCTGGAAGTGGAACTGTGGTTCAAGTGGTAGAGCCCTAACCTTGAGCAAGAAAAGCTCTGGTCCTGAGTTCAAGCCCCAGGACCAGCACGCACGCACACACACACACACACACACACACACACACACACACACACAGGAAAAGGTAGATTGAGTGCCTATACCACAGGAGGAAAAAATTCCTAATAGTTAAATATTAATGACTGAACTATGTGGTCATTTTAGTTTAAGACAACTATTGCTATTTATCAAGTTAGAACTTGTTTGAAAATTATTCTATTTGAACATGTCCTTAATTACCTCAATTATAAAGTGGGAAAAAATCTTTGACTTGAAATTCTTTTGTGATGACAAAGTGAAGTGAAATATATATGCCTAGAAAAGAGACTGGTGCAAAATACTCACTTAATAAACTTTATTTTTTTTCTCTTTATTCTCAAGTCACAATGAAGATTTATATTGGCTTAATATACTCAAAGTAACTTGAGGTTTTTTTTTTTAACTTGAGGTTTATTAACAAGAACTGAAATGAGATTTTTTTTTCTCCCATCCTGAGGCTTGAACTCTGGGCTTGGGCACTATCCCTAGAGTGCTCAGGCTAGCAATCATGAGCCATAGCACCATTTTGGATTTTTCTATGATTTGATTGGAGATGTGAGTCTCACAGACTTTCTACTTGGGCTGGCTTTGAATTGTGATCCTTAGACCTCAACATCCTAGTAGCTAGGATTTTAGGCCTAAGCTGCTGGTTCACAGCTTGAAATGAGGATTCTTTCACATTGGTCAAGGACTATGAAAAAAAGTTCTTTTATGACCTGTCTTAATCTTGCTAAATTTGTCATTGAAATTGATTGGTTAATGACAGTCTAAGAGAAAAAAATAAGCTTTGCAGTCCAAAAAATGCATTTGTGCCTTAGTCAATCATGCCTAAGTCAAGAAGTTACCTTATCAATTTAAGAATCCTGATTTCTTACATTTTGATGTCAGCTGGCAGACTTATTTTTGGGTGGAGAGGGCTTGACAGCATTTGAAAATTTAGATATTTGTTCTCAAGATTTGGGCAAATTTATTGTATTACTCTTTAATTACTTTTGCCTGTTGGAGGCCTAATTAGGTGGCACACTTCTATTGCATAACCTTGACAAATAAAATAAAAGCAGGTATGATTTTTTGTTGTTGTTCAACACTGCAGAATAGAACCAAGGATAAAGCTAGTCATAAATATTTGATTGGCTTTAGCTTCAGTCTCTTTGAAATGAGCAATTCTCTTTTGGCTATAGAATCTTTCTGTGAGATTCACTTCGCCAGAGACGTCTGACTTAAACTAAAACAGATGGAGTTGGCTTCTATTCTAGACTATACCAGAAGCTCTTAAGCCTCTCTCTTATTTACCTCAAGTTCGTGTTGAGGTAGGGTTTCTTTTCAGACTGCCAAGAGGATAATGGGCTTATTTTTTTGTTGCTGTTAATTTCAAAAACCTTCAGCTAGATTTACTTTCATTAAAATTGCAAGATTATGTTAATTCCCTAAGAGTTGTTTTCTGAAGGTTAGGTTTCAGAATGCCCTGTGTGAATTTTGCTTCTCAATATATTGTTAATAGTATCTGGATCCCATACTTTACTCCATAAATGTAAAATAAATTTAAAAATGCCTGTTTTTTTTTCCTTTTGGAGCCTTATTACCTCTTTTACTTCTCCTGAATTAAAAAAAACATACTAAATAAACTTTAAAATATTGCCTCGAAGATAATGATAATTATGCTATCTGAAACAATATTTCTCCTCTAAATGTTGAAAGAATTAAGAAATTTGGCCTAGAACAAGGGAGTGATTTGAACACATTTCCCTCCAGTTATACTTTGAAGACATATTTGATCATTTATGCAGCAATAGGAAATTATAATAGATGAAGTATTTGGTTTCCCTGTTATAAAGGAAATTTAAGAAAAATAACTTTGAATTTTATCTGAAAATACCCAATGTATTCTTATTTTTACTTCAACATTTTCTTATAAACTATTACCTTAAAAAGAATATTAAACTATCATAGCCTAATAATCTACATTACAAATATATAATAGCGGAGGAGGCAACAATGCTCGATAGGAAATGTCCTCATTACCTTACTCCTATAACTGTAACCCCCTCTGTACACTATTTTTACAATAAAAATATACAATAGCATCTCTTAATGCCTCTGTACCATATTTAAAATTCAGATATTAGTCCATCATTCTTAACTCAATATAATTTTTAAATGGGGCATTAAAATGCATCATTTAACTTTGTTTTTGTCACTCTTTTTAATAACTTTTCTTACATTTGAGATTTTGTGTTTACTGAAAAGTAACTGAATAGTACAAATAAAAAAGATAAAGCCCTAATGATTAAAGTGCCTTCAACTTCCACCAATATATTCTGCCTGAAGTACTTCTGCCTTTCAAGCCTCCTTCCCCCTTCCACAGACATTTGCCATCGTCTTAAAATAGGATAAGCACTATATAGAGATGAGGAGAAAATAGACCAAAAACTGGAACTTGTACTCACTCTTGAATTGAATTCTATATGGATATAAAGGACACTGTTGAAACAATTGGTTAAAAGCTCTAAATAATCAGTTTAGTAGACAATAACATTGTAAACTATTTTCAGAGATACATGATGAAGCATTTATAAGCAACCTTCATGTCTATAATTTTTTCTTAATTAGTTCAACAATTGAAAGTAAGTAAAAGCCAAGCACCAGTGCTAATGCCAATAATTCTAGCTCCTCAAGAGGCTGAGACCACAACAGTCACAGTTTGAAGCTAACTAGGGAAAAATAGTTTACTAGATTTCATCTCCAAATTAATCAGCAAAATCCAGTGGCAGGTGTGGCACAAGTAGTAGAGCACTAGCCAAGCAAGCAAAGTCAGCAAACACAGGCCCTGAGTTCAAATCCGAGTACCATTACCAAGAGTGGGAGAGGAAGAAGGATAAAAAAGAAGTACAGGTAATAAACACATAAAGATGGAGAGCAGGAGAGTGCTACAAAATATGACAAAAATGTGCATAAATTGGCAGTTGGATCTTCAGTGTATCATTCTTATAATTTTCTTACAGGCTTGAAAATTTCCAAAATAACAAAATATGCACTTAAAAATATAAAAACATATATTAAAATATATTGTACTGAATATGATTATGTCGACTATTTTTTAAAAGAAAAAAAAGGTATATCTGTCCCAGTAGTTACTGTGAGCATAAATGAGAAAATTAAGAACAAAATTGCTAACCAATTTGTGCCATAAAAATCTTTTTAAATCAATGCACCATGAGCTCCTTCAAGTCATAAAAAATCTTTTTAAGTAGCCATGCACCAGTGGCTCAGGCCTGTAATCCTAGCTACTCAGGAGGTTGAGATATGATGATCGAGGTTCAAAGCCAGCCAAGGCAGAAAAGTCCATGAGACTCCAATTAACCACCAGAAAACCAGATGTGGGGTTGTGGCTCAAGTGGCAGAGTGCTCTCCTTGAGCTGAAAAGCTGAGAGACAGCACCCAGGCCCAGAGTTCAAGCTCCACAACTGAAAAAAAAAAAAAAGAAATATGATGCTTAGCAAAGGTTTTTCTTTGTTGTTGTTGTTGTTGTTCTTAATGTACTATGCAATTTTTTTGGTTTCTTTTTATGTTCTTCCACCATGGTATATCCCTGTTGTCACTGTACTTGATTTCAGTGCCCTGCATCATGTATATACATTTATGCAATCTGGGGAGGAGAAGGGGATAACAAAATGCTGGAACAAGGACACAGGATGACCCATTGCAACAATGATACTCACACAACAGTATACTGAAAATTGAATCTTACAGCTTGGGGATAGGGGAGGATTAGGGGATGTGGGCGAGGGAAGGGATAGTAGGAGAAAAACAGAGGAGAGGGTAACAATGATAGCCAACTAATGTACTCATTACCTTCTCCTCTGTACAGCATCTTTACAATAAAATAAAAATTTTAAAAATCTCTTTAAGATATGCAATACAGGGCTGGGAAGGTGGCTCAGTGGTAGAGTGCTTGCCTTGCACGCCTGAGGCCCTGAGTTCGATTCCTAAGCAAAAAGAAAAAAGCCAGAAGTGGCGCTGTGGCTCAAGTGGTAGAGCGCTAGCCTTGAGCTGAAGAGCTGAGGGACAGTGCCCAGGCCCAGAGTTCGGGCTCCATGACCGGACCCAAAAAAAAAAAAAAAGAAGGTATGCAATACATTTTTATTTATTAAGTTCAAAATTTATTTTATAAATTATATTTTTCTGGGCATAGTGGTGTATTGCTATAATATCACTACTCAGGAGGAGTACTGTGAATTTTAGGCCAGCCTGACTACATAGCAAGAACTTGTATAAAAGAACATTTTCTGAAGAAAACCTTGTTTTGATTATTGACTACCAATATTAGCCATTATTTTAGATTTCATGTTTTAAAAGTTTGTAGAAAACAGAAAAGGTTGTTGAAAACAGATTTGTTTAAAGCTAAAAAAAAAAAGGCTAAAGAATATTGGTGTTGATGATTTGTTGACGTATGGTTCAGACCATGTCCCAAGACACCCCCATGTTTTGCCGTCTGTCTGTGTCTGCCCTTTTATAGAATCCAGCACTGGTGCCTTCCCAGTGCAAAGACAATAGAAACAAATAGAACCTTAGCATTGTTGCTTTTGTGATTCATTGATCGCTGGTACCTGCTATCCCTGGGCCTGTTAACAGTTTCCAGCAGATGATACACATGAGGGGGGAGCAAATAAATATATGCAGAGCAACTCAGAAGCAGCAGTTCAGCATTGCTTTGATGATGGACACATTTCCCTAGTGGTGGTGGTATATCTCATCAGGTAATGACGTAACAAAATTGTTCCTCATTCAAGCCTGGAGTTGACTGCAGTAGAATTTCTTGATGGTTTTATGAAAAGAGCAAATGCTAAAAAAATAAAAAAAATTAAGAGTCATCAATTTAATGTCTAAAATCTACAAGGAGTTTTATAAGGCGAAGCTGTGGTGTTAAAAATGCATCAAACATGTAACGTCCATGTTCTATTTTTGACAGAAATAAAGTTTGGGAGCAAATTCGTGAGTTCTCCATCTAAAAACTACTACTTCTCTCCTCAGAGCCTCTACCGCCAGGCCATGGAAGAAGCCAAGAAAGAAGGCTATGACTTGAGAAGCGATGCCATTCCTATCGTAGCTGCCAAGGCCTCCAGGGACATTGCCAGTGATGTAAGAATTGATCCAGTCACTGATTATTGACTGTTGGGCCAGCCACATGCTTAGAGAATCACATTACTGGAACCTAGAAGGCAGTCTCTTCAGTCATCATCCACCTTAACACCCTCTGTCACATAGGCAAATAAGTTGGGACTTAAGTCATTAAATACCTTGCCAAAGATCACAGGCCTCAGGGTATCCACGTCTCGATTGCAGTGTATGTCTTTTGGCCTCTGCTTAGTGGAAGTGAATGTCTCACAATTGTATGGGCATCTATTGAGTGAGTCCTAAATTCTCATGAGCTCTGCTTGGGATATACTCAAAGCAAAGATGCTAGGCACGAATCGAATTAGTTGTTGTGTAATCGATCTTCAGCTATTTTTTATCTTGCAAAACTAAAATTCAATACCCATTAAATCACAAAAATTACCCATTTTTAAACTACCCTTCCTGGATTATAGAAGAAACTATTTCTTCATCTATCCTTAAAAAAAAAAGAAAAACAATTTTAATGAGCCGTGTAAATGCATGTGTGCCTGTTTCTCACTCATGTGAAAACTTCTGAGGCACTGTCATCGCTTGTCTCTATGATTGGCCTGTCCCTTTCATTCTGCAGCTTTATTACTTGTTGCTAGGACATGATTCTCTGGCATGTGTAAGGCATTGTCAGAGAGTTCAGTTAAAATGTGTTAAGAATCACACCACCAAAGGCTTCAGGAGTAAGCATTCTCCAATGTGTAGTATTCCTGCAGCTCAGCTGAGAAAACCTCCAATTAAGGCTTGTAGAGAAAAGCATCCTACAGAAAGAACAGCAGGGACCAGCCCTCAATGCCTCTTCCTTATGTTCTGTTTGCTCTTGCAGTACAAATACAAAGAAGCCTATCGTAAACAGTTGGGTCACCACATTGGTGCCCGTGCAATACATGACGACCCCAAGATGATGTGGTCCCTGCACATTGCCAAAGTACAGAGCGACCGTGAGTACAAGAAAGAATTTGAGAAATACAAGACAAGGTACAGCAGCCCAGTAGACATGCTTGGTATTGTTTTGGCCAAGAAATGTCAGACCTTGGTCAGTGATGTGGACTACAAACATCTTCTACATGAATGGACCTGCCTGCCTGACCAGAATGATGTCATTCAGGCACGGAAAGCATATGAACTCCAGAGTGATGTGAGTATCCCTAATGCTGGCTCTTCATGCTAAAAGGTCAGAGGCTTGCCTTTCAGTGCCAATGGACTGGCACTAGATTGGTGCCAAGGGACTGGAATCTGTATATTTCAAGCAATGTACAATGTCTGAAAGGAGTTTCCATTGGAAATACTATAATATGTTTCAATATGTTTTCCCTTCTAAAAGTTATATGCAAAGAAGGAAATATATATTATTAATTCTATATAGGTATGTATTTTTTAGTCATTCAGGCTTTCTTGGAATCAAATACAATTTGTATATCATTGTCAAGCTGGTAGCTCATACCTGTAATCCTAGTTACTCTCAGGAGGCTAAGCTCTGAGGATCATGATTCAAAGCCAGCTCAGGCAATAATGTCCATGAGACTCTTATCTCCAATTAACCACCAAAAAGCCAGAAATAGAGTAGAGCTGTGACTCAAGTGGTAGAGCACTAACTTAGAGTGATAAAACTGAGGGACAGCATTTAGACCTAGATTTAAAACCCTAATAATAGCATACACACACACACACACACACACACACACACACACACACACACACACTATAGCTCTGTCAACTTGTCTAAAGAGCTGGAAATGTATGTGTGTTAGCAGAGCAGTATGGAAAGAATGGATAGTGTATTTTGTTGTATTACTTAATAAATGGTCACATTTTATATTTACTAACAAGAAAATACTAAGACATTCTTGGTTTGTGTTTATTTTAAATACAATCATTGAATACTTAACACCTGCCATGCCCTATTGGCATGGTAAAATAAACTAAATAAATACACAGTATCTTTATGATAGCACATTTTCTTTTCATATTTAGTATATTTTGTTCTTAATTTTTATAAATCTTCAAGATGAAAATTAAGGCAAGAGAGTTTTGTGATTGCAGTGCTCATATATCATTGGCCTGTGCATATGGTTTTATGAGGCACATTTTTCCAAAGGCTAATGAAATATTGCCCCTGTGTAAAAATCTTGTGATCCACTCAAGGGCAGCACTGTGTCTTTCAAAAAGGCTTTCAAGCCTGGTTCTGGTGACTCACTCTGTAATCTTAGATACTTGGGAGGCTGAGGATCCCAGTTTGAAGCCAGCTTGGGCATGAAAAGTCTGTGGGGCTCTTATCTCCAATAAACTACTTATAAAAAGCTTAATTGGAGCTGTGGCTCAAGTGATAGAGTGCTAACTTTAAACAAAAGAAGCTCAGAGACAGTGCCCAGACCCAAAAGCTGAAGCACCATGACTGGTATTAAAATTAATTAATTAATTAATAAGGCTTTTATCATTCGTGATGAAATCCTCTATAACAAAAAATTTCTAAAAAATATATATGTATATACTTAATAATAATATTGTGCAGATGAGTGATTGACCATGCTAGGAATTCTGTCCGTTCATTAGTACTTTTTATTTCATGAATCGGAAGCAGTAATTAATAGATAGTTCTTCTCTGTTGATCTTCAGAATGTGTATAAGGCGGATCTGGAATGGATGAAAGGCATTGGCTGGGTTCCAATTGGTTCCTTGGAAGTTGTTAAAGCCAAGAGGGCCACAGAGATCCTCAGTGATAATATCTACCGTCAGCGTCCAGACACATTGAAATTTACCAGTATTACTGACTCTTTGGAGCAGGTGCTGGCCAAGAACAATGCAATAAATATGAATAAGGTGAGAGTCTCCTCCATTAGCGATAAGAAGTAAGCAGAGAACAAGGTAAAAATTCCAACAAAACTATTGTATTTGAAGATCACTCTAAAGTTTATATTACTTTCAAAAATGTCAGTTTTTTAGCAATATTTAAAAATATTAAACTAATGTGAAGAGTGCTATGAAAGGGGCTGGGAAGGTGGCTCAGTGGTAGAGTGCTTGCCTTGCATGCATGAGGCCCTGGGTTTGATTCCTCAGCATCACATAATAGAAAAACCAGAAGTGGTGCTATGGCTTAAGTGGTAGAGTACTAGCCTTGAGCTGAACAGCTGAGGGACAGCACCCAGGCCCAGAGTTCAGGCCCCATGACCAACAACAACAACAACAAAAGACTGCTATGAGATAATTCTTTCCAAACATATTTTGATACTACAACCCAATTATACTTTTCAAAGCTGTTAAATTCTTTAACAACTAAAGAATTAAAGAATTTAATAAGGAACAAAAGAAGGAATTTATAGAGCTTTAATAAATTTGAGCTGGGAAGGTGGCTCAGTGGTAGAGCGCTTGCCTTGCATGCTCGAGGCCCTGGGTTCGATTCCTCAGCACCACATAAGCAAAAAGAAAAAAGCCGGA